CCCCAAAACCCCAAAACCCCAAAACCCCAAAACCCCACCAAAGACTTTGAAATTGAATTAAGTTATTTTCTAAATCCGTTCTTGGCTTCTTCATTATTCTTGTTTTTCTTCAAGCTATTAGTGACTCTTTCCACAAGCTGGTTACCTTGACCCATTGTGATTTTGAGTACTTCCTTTCTGAATTTCCCTGGGATGCGATAGACAAAGGAGCCGATGTACAAGAAATATGACAAATTAGTAGCCATTAAAACGGAGATTAAGGCTATCATGAATATTGGCTCATATACATTGTCCTTTGTTCCGAACATAATCACCTGAATAAACATTCCAATTGTATCGAATACCGCTCAAATTGCAGAGAGGATGAAGTAGATAAACAAAAATTTTTGTGCACTTTTTGCAGACTTTATCACATAATTTTTAAAATTGTCTTTCAAATGATTTGCAATTTTCTCAAATTTCCACTGCTCTTCCTTCTCACGCTCATCAAACTCTCCAATCTCCTCGATAAGGCTATGAACATTGGGTAATTTCTTGAAGCAGAGGAAAAGCCCAAAAACACCTCTTGGAATATGGAATACATGCAACCAGATTAGTCCCATGCCTGTGGGATATGCAAAGAAGACCAGGAGACCTATAATCCATGCCATTAGTGACACCACTGAATTATAATAACACATATTTCACAACTCATCAAGGATTTTCTCTAAAAGAAACAAGATGTTCTGCATTTGTAAAGCTTTATTTAAGCACTGAGAGCTTTGGAATAATAGTTCTAGCAATAGTTCTGGAAGAGATAGTCTTAGTGAAAGCATCAACCATTTGTTTCTGCTTTAGATAAGTATTCTCATCTTCCTCCATCCCTGCTGCATCAGCTGACCTACAACAAATCATAACTACCCAAGAGTAAACTTACGATTCTTCAATATCAGGCCTGAGATCATCTAATTTAATCTCTTCTCTTTGGTCCATGTCCATTTCTATCTATTTCAATTTTAAATTATAACTAAGGGGTTTTGGGGTTTTGGGGTTTTGGGGTTTTGGGG